CACACACACACACACACACATGTCAGGATATTAGAAGGATAGCTGAGACAGGACTGACTCCGACATACCTGACATTCGACAAGCGTACTGCCAGACTGCACAAGGTCATCCACAATGACGACATGGCGGCCTTGTGGATTTCCCTCCTTCAACCGCACAAGTCTCTTATTTCCATCACGCACCTTAGTACAGATTATCTGAGCAACATGGCATCAAAAGCACATCGAAAAGAAAAGCAAATATCAATACTATTATTATATTGTTATTACATTAAGATATCCAGGTGCAAGGGTTTGACCCCTCGGCATATGGCCCTGCAGCAGGCGCGTGCACGCCCTACGTGAAGGCGGGCCCCCGGAATCTCAATACGCCCTGAACTCGTCAATTTTTGCAAATCTTGGTCGGCGCCAGACAGTTGCCACACGCCAGTTGGTTACGTCCGCCTTGCACGTGAGAATGGGAAAGATTTGTGAGCCGTCCACTGCGTCCAGGCCCTTCCAGCAAAGTGGGGTAAGCAGGGAGCATCCTGTTTTTCGACTTTGTCAAGGCATATGACCAGGTCAACTGGGACTTCCTTCAGATCTGTATGGAGAGGATGGGGGTAGACATGGACTTTCACAAATGGATGAGAATCCTCTACAGCGACGCCCGAGGCATAGTCCAAGTTAAAGGTCGTACAAAATGACAAGGTCGGTACGACAAGGTGACCCCCTGGCAGCCCCAATCTTCCTTTTCCTAATGGGGGCCATCGCCGCTTTCTTAAGAAAGGACATCTCCATAGAAAGATTGGAATCCGTTAAAGACGAAAGGGGACAATCACTCTACCTGCCAAATACCCTTCTCTTCGCCGATGATCTAACATTCCTAATCAGAGCATCCAACTCCTCTTTCAAGCTCTTCCACGGGCAATCCAAGCCTTTGAACGAGCTTCAGAAATGAAGGTCGATTGGTCCAAAACAATAGGTTGGTGGCAAGTAGATTCCCATTCTCTCCCCCCCCCCCTCCTCTCCCCCTCCCCCCCCTCTCTTGAAAGAACTCTCCCCTGAGGGCTTACGGTGGGCGGACCCATCCACACCCATTCGCTTTCTAGGGATCAACTTGAGCATGAAAGGTTGTCGCCCCACATCGGCAGCCTCTTTGATGTCGCCAATGATCAACCGAATGCATAGTTGGCAGGGACTACACACATCACGACTCAGTAGAACATTAGCTCTAAATAACTGAGTTCTATCATAGCCATGATGTGGTGCGCTGCTTCGATTTGGTTCCCTCCCTGGACTTTCAACAGCACATCCACCGTAGGGCTGCAGCTTTTCGGTGAACCGGGAACCCGGACAAACGGCACTTCATACGCAAAGTCGCATGGCAGATAGTCACACAGCCTAGAGGCAAGGGGGGACTAGGACTGCTAGACCCAACATGCCAAATTAAAGCACTGCAAATGAAATGGATAATCACACTGACCCTCCAAGGCAACCTTCAATGGGTACCAATGGCCCTCAATCACATCAGAGAGCTCGCGCCTTGCAAGGTCCCGGTCAAGGACTTGGGCTCCATTTCGACTGACCCGCTCCAAGCAAGGTCCTGGTCAAGTATTCTAGGCAATCTGGAGGAGAATGAAGTTGTAGTCGGCAACCTGGAGGAACTCTGAGGGGTCTTGCGTATTGCAAGTATTCCCTTTGGGCGCCGGCGGTCTATCCCGGTTTCTGATGACAGGGCAATCAATGCTTCCAAGAGCACGAACTCTGTTACTGGTGTAAATGTTGATGACTTTGAGGTACGCAATGTGACGGTGGACCTGCTTTCCAGCAGGCGACGCTCTCCACCAATAAGACAAGAGCCAATCGCAAGAGGTTTTTGTTGAGGATGCTCATACGACCCCTGACAGTAAGAAGACCGAGAGTGATTGATTGCCAAAAAATAAATAAAGAAATAAAATTTAATAAATGTATTAAAGTAAATAATTTAAATAAATAAATAAAATGGTAGACACCTTTAAGGCCCTTAAACCCCCTTTAAACCCCTTTAAACCCCTTTAAACCCCGTTCATGGTAACTTGCGTACGCTTCATACCCCCTAAGGTGAGACATCACCAAGTGCGAAGAAAAACGACAGATTTGGGCACGTTTAAGAAGAAGAAGAAGAAGAAGAAGAGGAAGAAGAAGAAGAGGAGGAGGAGGAGGAAGAGGAGGAGGAGAAGGAAGGAGGAGGAGGAGGAGGAAGAAGAAGAAGAAGAAGAAGAAGAAGAAGAAGGAGAAGGAGGAGGAGGAGGAGGAAGCGCAAGAGAAGGAAGCGGGGGAGAAGGAAGAAGAAGAAGAAGAAGAAGAAGAAG